GATGGTGAGCATTTTTTCATGTACTTGTTGATTGATTGTATGTCCTCCTCTGAGAAGTGTCTGTTCAGGTCCTTGGCCCATTTGTTGACTGGGTTATTTGTTATCTTATTGTCTAATTTTTTGAGTTCTTTGTATACTCTGGATATTAGGGCTCTATCTGAAGTGTGAGGAGTAAAAATTTGTTCCCATGATGTAGGCTCCCTATTTACCTCTCTTATTGTTTCTCTTGCTGAGAAAAAAACTTTTCAGTTTAAGTAAGTCCCGTTTGTTGATTCTTGTTATTAACTCTTGTGCTATGGGTGTCCTGTTAATGAATTTGGAGCCCGACCCCACAATATGTAGATCGGAACCAACTTTTTCTTCTATCAGACGCAGAGTCTCTGATTTGATATCTAGCTCCTTGATCCACTTTGAGTTAACTTTTGTGCATGGCGAGAAGAGGGGATTCAGTTTCATTTTGTTGCATATGAATTTCCAGTTTTCCCAACACCATTTGTTGAAGATGCTATCCTTCCTCCATTGCATGCTTTTAGCTCCTTTATCAAATATAAGGTAGTTGTAGCTTTGTGGATTAGTCTCTGTGTCCTCTATTCTGTACCATTGGTCCACCCGCCTGTTTTGGTACCAGTACCATGTTGTTTTTGTTACTATTGCTCTGTAATATAGTTTGAAATCTGGTATCGCTATACCGCCTGATTCACACTTCCTGCTTAGAATTGCTTTTGCTATTCTGGGTCTTTTATTTTTCCATATGAATTTCATGATTGCTTTATCTATTTCTACAAGAAATGCCGTTGGGATTTTGACTGGCATTGCATTAACCCTATAAAGAACTTTTGGTAATATCGCCATTTTGATGATGTTAGTTCTGCCTATCCATGAACAGGGTATATTTTTCCGTCTTCTAAGATCTTCTTCTACTTCTCTTTTTAGGGTTCTGTAGTTTTCATTGTATAAATCTTTCACCTCTTTTGTTAGGTTGATTCCCAAGTATTTTATTTTTTTTGAGGATATTGTGAATGGGGTGGTTGTCCTCATTTCCGTTTCAGAAGTTTTGTTGCTGATATACAGAAATTCCTTTGATTTATGCGTGTTGATTTTATATCCTGCCACTTTGCTGAATTCATTTATTACTTCTAGTAGTTTTTTTGTAGACCCTTTTGGGTCTTCTAGGTATAGAATCATGTCATCTGCAAATAGTGATAATTTAAGTTCTTCTTTTCCTATTTTTATGCCTTTAATTTCTTTCATCTGTCTAATTGCTCTGGCCAGTGTTTCGAGAACTATATTGAATAGAAGTGGTGATAGAGGGCATCCCTGTCTTGTTGAACTGTCTTTTAAATCACAATTAAATTTTATTTCAATTCTGATTTTAAGGATTTCCTGTCTTCTGTTGATTTGGGTTTTGGTTTGTTCTTTTCCTAAGGCCTTGACATGTAGTGTTAGGTATCTTTTTGGTATATTTCTATTCTTTTAATGTTTGAGCTCATTGCTGAGCTTTCTTTAGAACCACCTTCATAGTGTCCCAGAGATTTTGATATGTTGTATCTCTATTTTCATTTTCTTCTAAGTATTTTTCTTCCATCCCTGATTTCTTCTGCTCTCCATTCGTCATTCAATAGTGAGTTTTTTAGTCTTCAGGTATTAGTTTCTGTTTTTATCTTATGTTTTTAAATTTCATTCCATTATGATCTGTTAAAATGAAGGGTATTATCTCTATTTTTTTTGTATTTGCTGAATTGCTTTGTAGCCTAAACTGTGGTCTATTTTGTTCCATGTGCTGAGAAAAAAGTGTGTTCAGTTATTGATGGATGAAATATTTGGTATAATTCCGTTAATAGTCTACTTTAATATTTTTTAGCTTTAAAATTGTTAGTTTTTCATCCACTGTGGGATCAATGGAGTCTGTTAAGGCATTCTGGGTTATTTGGGATGATTTGTTCCCTTACTTTTTCCCATTGTTTGCATGTCTACCCATCTATATGAATGGATTTGAAGCAGCAGAGTTTCTACCCTATGAACTTATAGTATACCTGTTGGTTTCTAGTACCTCACAGATTAGGGGAAGCCAAATAGCAGCAACCACCTATGTAAACAATATATGGCAATAAAGTACCTGGTTTCTATCATATCAACAATGTTAATTGGCACAATAAACAGAATGGCTAGGATCAGCAATTTCCATCAGTAGGAACAGTAAGTGATCATGTTATTATGTTTGATGTAAAATCCAAAGTAGATATTTGACTTCCATAGTATTACTACTACAGCATTAGTGATAGGGTCTGGTGTTATGTAAACCAACTAGTGCTACGAGATATTTAGAATTAAGAGGAAAAATGAAGAGACAGGTGGATAGAAAAGGGTCTACAATTTCTGATTCTTCAGGTGAATGTGGAAATGCTTGAAAGCAACATAGGGTGTGATAATTATGAGGGCAGATTTTAAAAAAAAGAATAAAAAATTAAGAGTGAAGAAGAGAAAAATGGAATTAGGCTTTTAGCAAGATAAAAGAAAAAGAAACAAGAATAGAAAAGAAACCAATACAAAATCAAACTATAATAATAAAAAACGTAATCCTTAAGACAGAGTAAGCCTTCAAAAAATGCTAGAAATGAGAAAAACAGATACAAATGTGTATATCCATGAATCATTCAGCACACAAGAAAAAAAGAATAGAATCTTGATGAAAAATAAAAAAGGTTCTTTCCATTGCTGTTGACCAAATATCAGTGGGAATGTTTGCTGTCTGTGCCCAACTGTCTTTTTTCCATTTCTTCTTGAGGTATGTACCAGGTGCAAGAGTAAGGGCTGCAGTTTGTCATCTCCTTTCTTTTTATTGTGTTGCTCACCAAGATATAAAATTTCTGCTTCCCTTCTGGGTGTTAAGATGAAGTTTGGGATGGAAAATACTGTCAGCTTGCTCCAGAGTGAAGTCATTGGGAGATTTCTTGAGATGAGGACCTGTAGATGGAGCTCTCAGGAACATGGCTTAGGTCTGGTGAGACCCCAGGTGCTATATTACATGGATAGTTGTCATGAAGGTATTAAATCAATGCACTTTTAGAGTGCATCAGCTATCAAACTGTACTGGGAGACTGTACTCCAGGAGTCTACCCAGGCATCCACTCATAAGACAGGGAGCCAGTCCTTGTCACTTCTGTTGCTCACAGCTACTGTCCTTCATGGCCTCCCACACATGCCATCATTTTGTATTGGTTTCTTTTCTATTCTTGTTTCTATTCTTGACCCACTGCAGCTAGTCCTGCGTCCTTACTAGCCTCCTGGGGTTGGTCTCGAGTGCCCACACCCTTGCCTATTCAGATTCCTGACCCACGGTAGCTGGTCCTGCAAGCCACAGGACTGAAGTGGGGAGGGAACTGGATTCTTCCCAATTTGTATTCCTGGGAGCTAAATACTCTCTGTGCCTAATTTTCTCCAGATTTTGGTAGGCTTAATCTAGGTTATGTAGCTCGTGTCCCCCTTGACTGTGTATGGGAGCCAGCCCAGTTTTCCTGGATCCAATGCTGGCCAACAGTGTAGTTGGTAGGCTCAAGAAGGCTTCTACCCTGGTTCTCTGTGGACAACTGATAAACAGAGCATCATTTGTGTACCAATTAACTGTGCCCAATAGCTTCCTGATTGACCCAGGGCAGGCTGCCCCTCAGATCTCAGGATTTTCCATGCTAGAAGTGTCCACTGCATTTCTTGACTTTTTGTCCTTGTGTGCTAGTTCCACTGCTTCCATCAGCAGCCCAGCTCTTATTTTTGTTCATTTTCCTTACTTAATATACCTAATTTCTAAGTCTCTAAGGTATTTTGGCTATCTAGTATTGAGTTTTAATAAAATCTGTTTCACACATCTCACAGAAAAGCAGTATTCCTGCTGCTTGACTACCAGGTTGCCAAGCTATGAAAAATGCTGTTTTCCTCTGGTCTCCTATCTTATTCTCTGTCTAGCCTATTTCTAATGCCGTTAACTACCTCTTTTAACCAGTTTCTTATTCCTGTTCCACTACAAAATGAATTTGTTAGATTTTTATCACTAGGATTTGAAGGACACAAATAGTATACACCAATATTAAAACTTTATAATTTTGTGGCAAGCACTGCAACACAGAATAAGAAATGAGTCACTTCTTTGATCATTTTTTCACTCAAGCCTTTGCAGGAGATACCCATCTATACTCATCCCGTACCATCTTCAGCAGCAGGATTAAAAGCCCAATGCTGTTCACAGCTTATAGAGTCCTAATTTTTCTAAATATATCAGAAGCCCAGCACATGATTCCTATCTGTATCTCCCAGAGTATAAAATTTTCAATAATTCGGGGAATCTTTAAAATCCAAGTGCCTTCCTTCTTGAGCTCCAGCTGCTGAAATTTATTTTGAGTAAAATCAGGCTCTGGTTGAGACATCAAGTCATTTATTCAGTTCCTAAGATGGCAATATTGGAGAGGTGGTAAGTAGAAAATGGCAGATTAGCTCAAAACTTTAAAAACTTGCCTAGAGACTTCCCAACTGAACCTCTGCATTTTTTCCTCCAGAAGAAAACCAGATTTAGTATGCTTCTCTGCTATTTTTGCTAAAAGGATTACTTTCTATTTTATCTACTCTTGCCTAGAACATAGTTTCTGAGGGTTTTGCCAATATTTAAAGTCAAAAAATTTCACAGGGCCATAATGGTACCAATAAGTAAATAAGAAATAAGCAAAACAGGCTTCTAATCATCTAATATGTTCTTATTCCTAAAGGATTTGTTAAGCTCAGTAGAAGCCACTGGAGGTGGCTCAGTGGTAGAAGGCTTGCCTAGCATGGGGATCCTGGGTATGATTCCCAGCACCACACCCACACATACAAAAAAATTTAAAAAATTAAATCAGGATCTAATTTACAGGAAAATTTGGACATAATCTACCAGTCTAAAATGAAATTATGCACAAAAGTAATAAATGTTAGATATAAAAAATAGCACTCAAAAATCATCCAAACACACAATCTTTCAAAAGTTGAGGGCTTTTAATTGAATAGAAGATACAATTTTTGATGAAAGTGATCCAAGCGTTCAATGCATGAATTTAATTTACTTGCATACGGCAAGGTAGGTGAGCCACAGAATTCTCACACACCATAATATAACAAAGAAACAATGCTGTCAGAGAATTATCTTCAAGTGAAGAAGTTTAAATAGAATAAGAAATACACTATACATAAACATACCCACAAAAAGCCTAAAACTCAGGTTGTGACAATGGGACCTACAACTGAAACAAATAAAATTTGAGAAAAGGGATTCAGTAATCTTTACAAATAATCTTAAGAGCAGACATTTCTGCATCAGATTGTTAATGACTAAAACACTCCAAAACTTTCAACAGTATTTTAGTGTAACCATGCAGATTTCCATGAAATATTAATTTTTTTGCTTATTTCCTTTTTCTTTCTCAAACTCAGCTATCTGATTAAATATATTGAGTAAATTTTGAGGTAAATTTTTTTTAACTCTGCTTTCTGATTGCTCTTTGCTATTTAGTCCATCTTCTTCTGGAATCTCTGTTTTGTTATCTTCCTCAGAATTGTCCTCTCTTTCATATTCTTGATTTGTATTTACCCGGTATCTTTGCTCATGTCTACTGAAATCACGTGATCCAGAATAAGTGTATTTTTTGTGTTTTTCAACTGACTTCCAAGAGTAGTCTGAACTTGCTGGTGAAGTGGAATACCTCACGGAACCTGGCTCCCACCTTCTATAGTGCTCTTTTCTTCCCTCTATGTCTCTTTCAAATCTCCTGTGACCATACATTTTTATCTTGTCCTCTGAATTCCTATAGAAGGAATCTGAGGAATTTCTTCTACTGGAAAAATGTCTTTCTGATTTATATGGCTTTTCAGTTTTGCTACTACTTGCCTGGGTTTTATAGCTATTGTAAAAATCTCTTGGATCTTCAGACCTACCTCCAAAATCATCTGGTATTTCAGCTGAAGAGGAAGAAAGAGGGCACTTATCTTTCTCTTTTACCTGTGTCTTTTGATATTGAAACCTGTCTTGCTTTTCCAGTAATTTTTCCACTTCTTGTTTTTGGTTAAGAAAAGATGCAGAAGTATTACTTGGAACTGGATAGCACTCCTCTTTCCTATTCTGATCTACCTGACTTGAGGATGCCCTAGATGAATGCCTTTTGGAACTGCGAGAAGACTCTGACCGGTTCCTCTTTCGTTTCTTATGCCTTCTGTGATCAGAAGAGGAGGAGGATGAGGAAGAAACTGATTCATCAGCAGAAGAAACACTTGAAGAGGAGGATGATTTTCTTCTTTTCTTCTTTAGCCTAAAAAAAAGCCAGTTCTCTCATCAGATAATGTTAAATACAAAACTGTTATTAAATTATCCATAGTTATTTTAATCCTATTGTTTCACTTACAGATTTCCTATAAGCTATAGCTCAGATAAATGATGTAACAATAATCTGTAACTATGAGGTCCAATTTTTATCATCAATCATATGACTTCTGGGAAAAATATCTATGTGGACAGGTGTCACTGTAAGCAGGTCAATTCTGAAGGATACAGTGACATTTTCAATACTACCTTAAAAACTAAAACTATATTAACACACAGGGAGAAAACTGAAGTTTTATATCTGACCCTCTCTAGTTTCATAGTTTCTCCACCTTAGCACAACTAACATTTTGGACCAAATAGCTCTTTGTGAGGGTGTAGGTCCTGTGTATTGCAGGATGTTGAACAGAATCCTTGACCTCTGTCCACCAGATGCTAGTAGCATACCACCACTTATAACAACCAAATATCTTCAAACACTGACAAAGGTCTTTTGGGGAACAAAACCATCCCTAGATAAGAACCTGCTCTTCTAAAACATTTCTTCATGACAGAAAATTAAAATAACTTATTCTATATATTTTAATTCTAAGATTAATTTTGTTTTTTTGCATAATCTTTTATAGGAAAACAAGTTGAACACATACTTGTTAAGAATTCTCAAGACATTATCATTTGAAATACTTTTTTTTTTTTTACTTACTTTACCTCCTTATGGCACTTTGGGCTCAACTCAGTAGTTGCTTTAAGTTAAAAAATATTGAATATTTTAGTTTACCTTTTCTCCTCTTTTAAGAGCTTACGCAACTTTTCTGCACTTGTTTCTATTTTCTTTGTTTTCTGCTTTTCTTCCTTTTCAGCTTGTTTTTCTCTTAATTCCAAAGATTTCTTTTAGAACCCAGATATCGGAAAAAACCACACGTTAAAAATAGCAGAATATACAAAATAATATTCAAAAGACCACCCCCAACCAGAAACCCAATTTATTTTAATCAAATCACCATATTGCCAGCATTAAACAAGTATTTGATTTTTAACATAAAAAAATTAATCACATAGATGTTTGGCATTAATCATTGGAATGGCCAGAACAGTATTGAGGACCATATTGCAGTTGGTATCCCATGAAAAAAGGGGAAGCCATTGCAGTGGTACCAATGACCCAGAGTGCAAGAAAGGGGGGAAAAAAAGCATGTGAAAAAAAAGAATTTTTTAAAAATTGAAAAATTTAAATAAGATATAAATTTTAAAGGTCAGATGCAAATACACATATTCCATTAATGTGAATTGAAGGGAGGAAATCACCACGTTCAAATACAAACCATTTTAAAAATAGCACAGCCCAGTTGGATGCATGATTACATAAGATATCATTTTCCAGTTTGTGGATGGGGATGAGCAGCACCAGATGTCACAGACACAGCAGCAATGGTCCAATTCAGAAGAAAATGCATGAGAAAACATCATCATCAGTATTACAGGAAAAGGCAGATGAAAATATGTCTCAAAAAGATTTTTATAATTAGCTCAATTATCCAGTAGCAACACTGATAATTTCATATTTACCAGGTAAGCCCATAGATAGTTTTCATACCTTTATACTGAATTTAGGCAAAAGGAATTTTCTTACAGGGCTATTTTTGCTTTTGAATATAAACAAACAAAAAGAGGAATAGGCACTATGAAGCAATGCCAAACCTAATCATGATAGCTAAACCTAAAAAGGAACTTCATAATGTTCCACTAGGTAATTAGAAGTTTTTCCTAGAACATTATACTTTGGTATTACTTTTAAATATCTCTAGGTTTCTAAGAGGAAATAAAGAATCACCTGCATATATTTATGAAGTTTCTGCAAAGCATCCTCTGCATCTTTAAAAGTCTCATCCAAAGCCAAAGCTTTCTTATAGTAACTTTCAGCATTTAAAAACTTTTCTTCTTCTTCTAGCCTAAAAGGAAGATTTAGCATTTTTATACAAACAATAAAAGCACCCAAATACACATATAGGTCAGAAGCTTATGTGATGGAACTTATTAGGGAAAAGTCATGTTTACCAAATTATTTTCCAAAAACCATACCTAAACTATGTTTCTCACTGTAATTTACTTGATAAAAGACTCCATAAAACAAATGAAAACCTATTACTAGTAACTAACAATATTGGCACATTTATTGTAGAAATACAGAAAAATACATGATAAATTGATGTCTGCAAATTTAGTGCGATCTCAAGCTTTAACATAAAATTATGTATATAGGCTTTTCCTAGTAGTTTATAAAAAATTTTCCTTTCTATAAAAATTTTTTCCCCAGAAAATCCACTGTTAACTTTAGGAATACCAATACACACACACACACATAATTTTTTTTCCTCAAATATTTTTTAGTTGGTGAGGGACCTTTATTTCATTTATATTTATGTGGTGCTGAGAATCGAACCCAGTGCCTCACACATGCTAGGCAAGTGCTCTTCCATTGAGCTACAACCCCAGCCCCTTAATATATATTTTTGATGTTACATTATTAGAATGATAAAATCAGAAAGTAAATTCTTCATTATTAGAAAACTCCTAGTATATGTCTTGAAAAAAATAATACTCTGGTACTTTTCCATCTATATTTTTATGAAATGAGAATATTCACAGCAATAAACTTGAGACACCAAAATATACCCAATCATAAAAACCTCGGGAATAAGGCAGGGAGGGGAAGAATTCAAAAGGACTATATTTAAAAAATATTTTCATCCAAAACTGAAATGAAAGGTGTTTTGAATTGAGTGAACTAAAGATGCTTTTTCCTTATGTAAGGTTTTAATAGTAGCTGGTTCCATATTAGATCTCTAAGTTTGACACTTACTGCCCTCCTCTTTCTACAAGTGTTTGGCAGAGGTATTTTCTTGCATTTCTGTGAGTTGGACAGTTTTCTAATGCAAGCTCAAAATCTTCTATTGCTTTGTTCAGACTTCCTTTTGTTGCATATCTAGAGATATTAAATAAGAAAAATGTAATCTTGAGCTATTTATAAATATTTTTCAGATTTATCTGTAAATATTCCTTAAAAATCCATAATTCACTTACAATGCTCCACGAGCTACCAAAGCTTCCACATTTTGCTTATCTATTTCCAGAGCTTTATTGTACTCATTCATAGCATCCACATGGCGTCCAACCTTAAAATAATCAACTCCAATCTTCACACTAAAAATCACAAACATTTCATAAAATATCTAATGTTAATAAGTTTTAAAAGCAAATGTCTTAAAATTTGCAATATACAAGAAGCACTCTGCATTCTGATATTTTCATAATAATTATGTTGATACTACAATCAATTTAATTCTGAAAGACATTAAAAATGGTGGATGAACTTAAGTCTGTTTTTTTACAATGTAAGACCAATGTGATACCTACAAAATAGGCTAATGACAAAAAAACTTTATTTTATACGTATGAACACACGCTGATCTTAATGATTTAAGAATGCCTGACTTTCCGTACTCTTTTAGACTACATAATATAAGTGTTAAAACAAAACATCTTCCTACCACTTTAAGGCCCAAGACGCAGACTGTTTCTTTCTTAATGCAGAAGCATAATCATCTTCAGAGAAATTTTTGCTATTAAAAGAAAATCAAAGTCAGACTATAAACACTTTAAAAATAACTATACTTCACTCTGCCTGACATACAGGCACTCAATATTGAATGAAACCCAAGCAAGAAATTAGTATTCCATTTACATAGCAAAATCCTTCAACTGTCAGAAATGAACATTACTGTTAAATATTATTTTTTCTTAAGCACATACAAAAAAATTTTTATAAAGTTTTTGCATCCCTCTTTATTTGGTCACATGATACACAACTAATCATCAATAAGTGTACTGTCCTGAAGCAGATGAAATCATCCAGTTCATTCAACCTGTGGCATATTTCTTTTGCTAGGCCAATGATGGTCAATATGTTCTTTATGTAACCTTTGAGTTTAGCCCATTCCCCTTACCACCTTAGAGAATAATACTGATGTTACTATACCTTTGTAGGCCTCTCATTAAAGATGGTGGATTAGATTCATCTATTCCAAGTTTTTCTAGAAGGAATTCAACTACTCCAGGATTAACAAATCCCAGAGAACTCTGCATGATATTTTCATAGGACTCCAAAGAATTACTACTTAGTTCAACACTCCTCCTTGGGGTGGGGGGGACAAAAATGCAAAAATTCAAGAATAACAAATAATTAGCATATCCCATTTCTTTAAAGATATAATATCATAAGATAAGGTTTAAATACTAATAGCATTTTTTTGTCTTTTATGGAAGTAAGTGGCACTATTATAAGATGGTTCATTCTACCAAATTTGAAATGCTTTGAGGATCAGAAAAATAAGATGAACTCATTTTATAATAAAAGAAATTAAAAGTGAGGGGAAAGGGGAAAATAATACAAGGGGGGGAGAAATGAATGACAGTAGAGGGGGTAGAGAGAGAAGAGGGGAGGGGAGGGGAGGGGAGGGGAGGGGGGATAGTAGAGGACAGGAAAGGCAGCAGAATACAACAGACACTAGTATGGCAATATGTAAATCAATGGATGTGTAACTGATGTGATTCTGCAATCTGTATACGGGGTAAAAATGGGAGTTCATAACCCACTTGAATCAAAGTGTGAAATATGATATATCAAGAACTATGTAATGTTTTGAACAACCAACAATAAAAAATAAAAAAAAAAAATAATAAGAGAAATTAAAATTCCACCATTTTCAGAAGCTTGACTTGACTAAATTTGCTATTTCAATTCAAGAAATTTGTAATGAGCACTGTTGAGACAGTATGGATAAATACCTGTAATACAAAGGAAGCTCCTCAGAAGTAATTACACCTAGTTTAATACCAGACAGGTGTGGTGGAAGAGCTGAGCTATAAAGAGATACTGCAAGCTTTTCATGGTATCTGTCGATATCCTTGATTCCAGCTTAAAAGAAAAAAAACTGATTAATAAAAAACAAACTAAAATATATATTAAATAAAACTTTCTCAACACTACCCTCATTAGACTACATTTTCAAAATTAATAAAAAATAAACAGCTCTGACTTTGTTATTAGTATGATGAACATGCTTACCTCGAATGATGTCACCAGTTTGGTAATATGATAAAGGATCCCCATGGTTACTGTGAGAAGGCACATCTCTTAATGGACAAAGAGCCTGCAATTAAAAATTCGTGAAAACACTATTCATTTCACTTTTTGTTGAGAACAGTATCTTTTCTCTTAGTTTTTAATTGTTCAGTAATAATTGACATGAACATTTAAACAACCAACATTCTACAGTCTATTTTTTAATAACGACACAGTGATAACTCAATACATGTATAAAATGTGTAATTATCACACCAAGATAATTAGCATTTCCAACTTTTTATCATTTCTTTCTAGTTGGAGCCTTCAAACTCCTCTAGTTCTTCATAAAGTATATAATAAATCGTTGTTAACTATAGGCACCCTACTATGCTTCAGCACACTAGAACTTATTCCTCTTACCTAATTATATTTTGGTACCCATTAACCAATTTCCTTCTATCCCCCCATTCCCCTCTCAGTCTCTGGTAACCACTATTCTAGCCTTTCCTTTGAGATCAACTTTTTAGTTCCACATTATAAAGGAGTTTGAACATGCTATATTTGTCTTTCTGTGTCTAACTCATTTCTTAGTAGAATACCCTCTAATTCCCTCCATGTTGCCATACATGAGAGAGTTTCATTCTTTTTTCAAGGCTGAATAATATTTTTAATTGTGTATGTACATATCTCATTTCCTTATCTATTCATCCATTGATGGACTCATAAATTAAGCTAAAGTCTAAAATTTAAATAAGGATTTTAGTTACAAGAAATTTCCATGTCCAAACACAATAAACATTTTTAGTTCAGTTCAAAAGATAAAATCTCATGAATTGTTTTCTTTAGCTTTAGGAACCAAATACAGATTTTCATTTGACAACAATAAAACTATAATCTGCTCATAAAGAACAGGATTCCAATGAAAATGAAACTTGAATTCTTCAAAGTTCTGCTTTTCTTCCTTTCTATGTGTCTGGACAGACAGCAAATATCAAATCTTTAAAAGTGACACATTATTAATTCAAGACTATTTATCTTAGGCCTTATTATCAACAAATTTTATATTTATGTAAATTATAAATCACAAATTTTTTTCTAAATTACCCACATTCAAATGTCTAATGCTAAATATAAAATAATCAAGAATATGTTCAACTAGAAGATATAATTCCAGAATACCAATGGACTTCACCATGTCCACTGATATTTCTGAGTACGTAAAAAGGAAACCCCTCCTGTAGCCAGAGTCCACAAAACCTCTAAATTCAGAAATGGAGAAAGAAGCTGTAACTCTCTCACCAGTAACTTTTATTTTTTAAGGAAAACTATTTTTATCCAATGTTTAATTTCCAAAGCAGATATTCTTAAACACAACTGGATGCAAACACATAATTTTTTGCAGAGATGTCTATCAAAAACAGAAGTAATGTAGATAGGTGAAAAGACAGCAACTTACTGTGATTTCTAAGTGGGATATATCTCTCATGATGCCACTTCCTAAACAGATCAATACCATGAAAAAACCAAATTCTCGAATAGAACTAATTCTTCCAATCACTATATCACCACGCTCAATATCACGGAAAAACAGCTCTCTCCGGTCCATACTAGGTATCTCCATGAATTGCTCTAAAGGTGGCATGACTGCATAATGATCTGAAAAAAAAAAAGAAAAAAAAATTAACATCACTAACAATAGTTTTGACTTGTTTTATCTGAAGGACTGTTAAATCAAACCTCCTATGTTAGAAAGGTTTGGAGACTAAACTGACCTTCATTGTCTTCATTAACTTCAGAAGCTGCAGGTGCATCCGATTTCCAGGAAAGTGCAAAAAGCAGATCTGCTTTTTTGGAGATGAATTTTTGTATTTCAATGTTGTCAACTCTTTTCTCTTTTCTTAAAAGAAACAAAAACTTATGAAAACTTGTTTATTTGCAAAGCCGTTTCATGTCTAAACTTCTGATTATGAAAAACCCACTCCGTACAGCCCAGGAAAGTTTTAACCAGGCACTCCCTCATCCGACAACTTGGAAGCGGAGGGCGGGAAAACCTAGAACGTGGCGCCTCCAGCTTCAGATAGGAAAGCCCAAGAGATTTTAACTAAGGAATCCGTGGCTCGATCTAGCAGTACCAGAAAAGTTCAGCTCGAAATCCTCCTTGCCAACCTTCTTTCACTCAGCACTCTGCACCAGCTAGCCAGTCCCACGTGCCACCGCTCCGCTTCTTTTAGGTGCAGCCCGGGGCTGCGGGAGCGGAGCCCGAGTGGAAGGCGTCCCCACCCTGGTCTCACAGCCGCGCAGCAGCACCATTACCTGCCCTGTAAGTGCTGCTGGGGCGGCGGGCCGCGGGCGGGCTCGGATGCCGACCCTAGGAGGCTCCGGAAGTGCGGATTGTCCTGCTGTTCGTTCCGCAGTAGGGAGAGCAACGACGACCCGTGGCAATTCAGCGACTGACGTAGAAGATCCCGGTCCATGGCGAGAGGCTGCGGGGTCCGACAGCCGGTGGGCTGCTAGGACCCAGTTCCGTGTCTACTGCTTGAGCCCGTGATCCCGGAGGCTGAGGCAGCAGCCTAGCAGCCGCCGGAAACATACACTTACTTGCTCACCTCCCGGAAGTGTTCCCGAGGCGCCCCCGGTGGCCGCGCGGCGGAGCTCTACCTCGTTCTCGCGAAACCGAGCGAGATTACGGAAGCCGGAAGGAGAGCGCTAAGCGTATTCTGTGTTGAGGACTGAGTGGGCTTTCAGGTAGACTGCTTTAAAAAAATTGACGTGGTGAGATAGCCCGATCTCTAATCTAGGGTGAATAATTTATTTTCATGAGGAGGTGCAAAATGCCAGTACCTGAGTGAGAACATAAATCAATATCTGTGTGGGGGACATAATCACATTAAAACGGCCCTGGAAATGTTACCTGGAAGACTAAAGTGCAGAAGAAAGGAAGGGAGCTAATATTTTTTAAGCAACTGAAGTTGTGTTTACTATTCTTACTCCATTTACTGTTAGCGATTTTAGAGTTACAAAAGACATATGCATATGCCATTCTAGTGTTATAGCTTTACCCTAGTAGAGGATAAGCAGGATTCATTAAGGGTGATACTTATCGGATGCCTATTGTATATAGAGTAGTAACAAGAGAAATTAACTATAAGCAGGTGTACTTGAAACTCAGTTGGAGATTTTCTAACTTTGGTTAATATTGGTCTTAAGTGGAGGTAGCTACATTAGGTGTCAAGGAGAGACTTCTTAACTCCCACATATACAGGCATATTTGAATTCACTTTCTGTTGGGGCATATAAGGTGTTGATTTTGAAGGGGACGGAACACTGGATCTTTAATAGGATTGGAAGGAATGAAGAGAGTAAGTGAAGGGACTAGTTTTGCTTCTCATTTTGGAGAAAGTAGTCTTGCTTATGTTGCTTCTCAAGGTGAGCACTGAAAGAAAATGCTTTTTTTTCACTTCTTTGCTTTCTTAAAAAAAAAAAAAACTTTAAAAAATATTTTTTCTAAGAAACTTCCAGATTAAGCAATATGAATAATTAAGCAAAGGGGGGAGAGGGAACAGTTGAGGTGAAGAAAATGGGTAAGGCTGGCCAGGCAAAACACATCTCTGATGTCTTACTTTAGGCTGATTTTTAATGTGATGTCAAATTTCATCTTTAAATAAACACATATGTACATCCTTTAATAAACACTCTAGACCCTGGAAATATAAAGATGAAGAAAACACTTCTGGGATGAAATTATGTCATTTGCCAAAAAAAAAAAAAAAAAAAAAAAAAGGATGGAACTTGAGAACTTTATATTAAGTGAAATAAGCCAAATTCACAAAGTCAAAGATCAACAGTTTGCTCTCACATGTGGAAGCTAGGGAGTAAAAAGCAAAAGAAAAGTGGTGGGAACCTCACGAAAATCTAAGGGAGATCAGTAGAGAAAAAGTACCAGGGGGAGAGAGGAGGGGAGAGAAACACGAATTACTAGAGAATGACACTGGTCAAATTATATTGTGTGCATGTATGAATATGCAACAATGAATCTGACCATTATGTACAATTATAATGCACCAATAAAAAATTTGAAAAAAAAAAACTACTTCTGTTTCTTGAGTGGCTCACAGTTCATTGATGGAATAGACATAAGAAGGAAGAAATTTGGCACAGTGAAAAGTTCTATTGTGTGAACACATACTATAGTGTCTGTTAGGTCTCTCTTCTCTGGGAAGTGAGGTAACAGAAGTTGCTGTGGATAAGAGGGAGAGGGGAAGGCAAGTATGTGTGGTCCAGGCAGAGGGACCAATATCATTAAAGATAAGAGGTATGAAAAAGCAAGATGCATTCTGGAGATCACACGTGTGATTGAGGTAGGTAGGGACATTTTAGTTTATGGACATTTTCATTACATAAGTGTGTCATTTGAGGAGGGGTACAGATGTTGATAAAACCTCCTTTTTCGTCTGTATGCACATACACACCCAGTTTAAAATAATAATTTATTTAGCAAAGAACACAAATTAGGTTAAGTAAGGTAGTCACATTAAATAGGGGCAGAAGCAGCATATCTCAGTATAGCTTTTCTTGGATCTTCCAGGTTTCCCAAAATAATATGCACAGCTGCTAGCATATCTGCAAAAGATAAGGTCTTTTTTTTTAAATCTCAGGAACTTTCATATTACCATTTGTAAAGGACATACAAATAATCTATTCATTTATAAGGACTATCTGTTGACAATTTTTTTTCTTTTCTTGTTCTTGATCCTGATGCAAACAATTTCAATAAGACCTCATTCTCATCTGGGGTTAAGGATGAGATGAATGTGTCAGGGAAGGCCGGTAGGAAGTAAGACCCCAGGGGGTCTATTATGTTATGTCTTCTTTTCACTTCTGAGCATCTTTTTATGGCTCTCTCTCTCTCTTTTTTAAAATAGGCTTTTTTTTCTTAGAACATTTTAAGTTCATAGCAAAAAGGAGTAAAAGGTACAGAAATTTCCCATATATGTCCTATTGCTACATATACATAGCTTCCCCTATTATCAACATCCCCCACCCCCAGTGGCATATTTGTTATAGCTAATGAACCTACACTGACACATCCTATCACTCAAACTGTAGTTTACCTTAGAGTCTACTCTTGATACAGTCTATAGATTTGGACAAATGTATAATTACATGTGTTCAACATTATAATACCTTGCAGAGTGTTTTTGCTATCCTAAAAATCATCTGGGTTCTGTCTGTCCTGACCCCAGAACTAGTGGCAACCATTGAACATTTTACAGTTTTTGTATTTTTTCTTTCTCAGAATATATAATTGTGATCATACAGTATGTAATTTTTCAGACTGAATTCTTTCACTTAATAATTTAAGTTTCTTCCATGTCCTTTCATGGCTTGATGCCTCATTTGTTTTTAGTGTTGAATAATATTTAATTGTCTGGATGTGCCATAGTTTATTTATCCATTCACCTACTGAAGGGCATCTTAGTTTCTTCTAAATTTTGGAGATTATGAATGACATTGCTATAAACATCCATGTGCAGGTTTTTATATGAACATAAGTTTTAACTTTTGGGGGGTAAATACCAAGGAGTGTGATTATTGAGTCATATGTTAAGAATATGTTTAGTTTTGTGAGAAACACCAAAGCGGCTGTGCCATTTTGTATTCCCACCAACAATGAATGAGAGTTCCTGTTGCTCCACACCATCACCATTGGTGTTGTCAATGTTTAGGATTTTGATCATTCTAATTGGTGTGTAGTGGTATCTTATCTTAAGTTGCATTTCCTTGATGACATACAATGTGAAACCCCTTTTCATATGTCTATTTACCATCTGTACATCTTCTTTGGTGGGATGTCTGTAGGGTCTTTGGCCCATTTTTAAATTGGCTTGTTTGTTTTCTTATCATTGAATTTTAAGAGTTCTTTGTGTATGTCTTTTGTAAATATTTTCTTCCAGCCTGTGGCTTATCTTTTTAGTCTTTTGATGGTATCTTTTGTAGAGTAGAAATTGTTAATTTTAATGAGGTTTAGCTTATCAATCTTTGCTTTCATGGATCATGCCTTTGGTATTGTATCTAAAACATCATCACCAAAACCAAGTTTATCTTGATTTTCTCCTGTGTTATCTTTTTGGAGTTTAGTGGTTTTGTGCTTTACATTTACATCCATGATACGTTTTAAGTTAATTTTGTGAAGGGTACAAGGCCCATGTGTACATTTACTTTCCTGCAAGTGGATGTTCTGTTATTTCAGCACTATTTATTGAAAGAATACTGACTTTTCTCTGCTATATTGTTCTGCATCTTTGTCAAAAATGAGTCGACTATACTTATGTGGGTCAATTTCTGTGCTCTCAATTCTTTGGTATCTGTTTTTCTATTCTTTCTCCAGTTCCACTGATGAACCCAGCCTAATTCCATCTTAAGATTGGGAGCCATCTCATCACAAAGTCATGAAAAGTTAATTTCTGTTTTACTATAAATTACTGCAATTTCTAAACTTGCTTGGAATGCCTGCCTGTGCCTTGAACTCACCCATGCCTGGCTTTCCTTGACCAGATAACAACCCTCTCTGAAACCTTAGTGGAGCCTAATAAATTCTGATTTTTCCCTGACCAGATAACAACTCTCTCTGAAATCTCAGCAGTGCCTCATAAATTCTGGTATTGGGACACTAAATTTACTCCCTATCTTGAAATGTTGAACCATTTAGATCATTAACCTACCATCTGCCTTTGTATTATGTTTGTCAAAATCTTGTTATCTGTAAGTTCTCAAGACACCTCCCTTTTGCAACATTTTTTTTGCTATAAAACCATGCTCAGAGAGCTGGGGTACTGTTCTCTAGCCAAGGGTTTTTTGGGAGAGAGTCCTGTACAGAATTACAAGCTTGCTTTAATTTGATTTAAAACTGGAGTCGGTGGTCTTTTCTTTACATCATGGTTTTAACACCACATGGTCTTTTGTTCCTTTAACAGTAAGTCTCGAAGTCAAGTATTCCAACTTTGTTCTCCATCTCTCCACCCCTACTTTTTTTTTTTGGAGGGGGAACAATCTCTTTTTGTTACTTAAGCCACATTGAGTAAATTTTTGGTTTGGAACCAAGAGTCTTAACTAATACACTAAGAAGCCACAAATTAGTAGCCTCTGCCTCTTTTACTCTGCCATTTTGAGAATGAAGAAACAAATGTGGAGAGGTTAATAAATGCTTTTGCTGTTCAAACACTAACTTTAGAATCCTGTCCATGACTGTAAATCTAATCATCTTTCTACTATGCAGTGCAAGTTTAATGAGTTAGCTGACATTGTGTTTTTTGAGGATGTAGTTTTAAATATACATGTATGGAACTTATTTTATTTCTAAATATCGGGATAATTTTAGGTGTCAACCTGTCTGTGAAGATATTTTTGAATGAGATTAGCATTTGAATCTGTGAATACAGTAGGGTAGATTGCCCTCCCCAGCATAGGTGGCCTTCATCCAATACATTAAGGACCTGCTTAGAACACAAGGCTAAGGAAGGAGGAATTTGTGGCTTTGTCTTGACTCAGTGCTTGTGCTGGGACATTTCAGTTCATC